GTGGTTGCACGCTGTTCCTGCTTGTGTGTGAGCCTCTTCTGTGGAACACCCTCTGTTTGCTTCGTAAGCTCACATTTTTATTTCAGTTTGACTTCAAATATACTGGCTAAACGGATTTCCTTCTTTCTCCTTCCTCTTTTCCTCATTAGGAGTTTTAAGGAACTCAATGGCTGTGAATCTTCTTAATGATTTGTAAGAAGGGGAAAAAGAGCTAAAATCCCTGTTACTCTGAAATTGCTGTGCTTTAGTTGAATGGGTGGCATCAGCACAGCTAAGAGGTGTATTAAGGCAGGGCAAGCATGGGGCAGGAGGAGCTGGTGAGTGGGTGAGAGACCATTTTCTTAAATTCCATCCTTTAAACTTCTTCTCCTCTTCTAGCTTCCAGTGATAAGGTAACAGCTGTAATCAAGGTTACAGATTATACTCAGGGAGGCTAGTGTGAAACTTACTATACAAATATTTTTGTTAATATCTCAGTTTAATAGCTTACCTTCAGAAGCATCTAGACCATTTTCTGCAGCATTTGCTACAGGATGGGATTATTATAGGATTAAGGGCTGGGCCAGCAAGTGCCAAAGTCAGTGGAGGGTCTCAAGGAGATGTGGATCAGTGTCTCAACAAGCTGTGGCTTGTCCTGTTGCAATATATACCTGCTTCAGGCTTTCTAGTTCAAATCTGAGGCTACTTTGTGATTTGACTTCAAACTGATGGTTTTATGCCAGTGCTGTCTAACAATGTTGGAAATTAGGGCAGAGCATCAGTATAGCTCAAACCTGAGGATATCAACAGCTCCTCTGTAATACAGAACATATCACCACAGGGTGAGCAGCAGAGTATCCAAATGTGAAAATGTAAGAATAAAAATTGTTTCTTTCAAAGTGGAGGGAGCTATGAGAAGCTTTCTTCCATGAAAAGAAAAGCCTGTCTGTATTCTGTTTCATTGAGTCAACAGTAACAGTTTTTGTGCATAACTGGTCGTTGGACCTGGACTTTTTTTCCTCCAGCCAGACAACAATTCCCTGTAAAAGGGAAAATAAGTTGTCAAAAGCTCTTGAGAATTTTTTTTGAGAATCTAGCAGATGTACCCACTTGCTATAAAATGTTGGTGCCTTACATTTTAGAGGTCTCACTTCTAGTTAAGATCTTTTAATGAGAGAACTGAAATCTGGATTTCTCACAGCTTTGTTCTACAAGGAAGAAATAGTAGACAGAGGTATGGGAAGCTGGGGAAGAGTGGATGTAGGTAGTCATATCTTGATTGCTCTCAGAAAAGTGTCTAGTGGGCATGGGCTGGTGTGTCATGCATAACTGTGTTATAGCAAAAATAATTACTTTAATCATAGCCTCTAAGATGCATATGCCCCTTCCTTGCAGTGAACTCCTTGTAGTATTGGGAAACATCAGTTTCAAAAAGGAGGTGGAGATTTGTGTAACTAAGTGTGTTGGAAATGGCAGAACGTGGTTGCATAAACTTGGAATTGAAGCAGAGAGCCTACTTTGATCAGTAACAAGCATGAAACATCAGGATGTGATGGCAAGAAAAGAATTCTAGTTACTTGATTATCAAAACAATTTTGTACAGCCTATAGGTGTCTCTGAGACTTAAAAATTTTGACAGAGCTTGAGTCTACTTAAACATAGGAGTGCAAAGAGATCCCTATTTAAGGTGATAGAAGAGTAGGTCAGAGAAATGATTTTGCTGCTATTGAGCAGATAGTAAAGTTATGGTATTTTACAAAAGCACATAACTTTTATTAAATGATGAGGGCATACACAGCTAGTTAAGTGTTTTATGATGTGCTTCACCTGCTGTTGTAGACTGTTTTCTGGTCACTGGTATTTGCAAAGAATGAAAGAGGCTGTAGGACTTGTGTGAGGATACTGTGTTGTGCTGAGCCAACAGTACAGCCAGTACAGCTTCAGCAGTGCATGTTAATTTTGTATAAGAATGATGTGCCTGTTCAGAAAACCAAAAATATAAGGCATTTGAGAAAAACCTGCTAGGCTAGGTTTTCTTTGTAAAATGACCCTTGAGCTGCGGCAGATCCACAGAGGCAGTTCATAGATTCATAGAATGGTTTGGGTTGGAAGGGACCTTAAGGATCATCTAGTTCCAGCCCCCCTGCCATGGGGAGGGACACCTTCTGCTAGACCAGGTTGCTCAAAGCCCCGTCCAACCTGGCCTTGAACACTTCCAGGGATGGGGCATCCACAGCTTCTCTGGGCAACCTGGTTCCAGTGCCTCACCACCCTCATAGTGAAGAATTTCTTACATCTAATCTAAATCTACCCTTTTTCAGTTTAAAGCCATTACCCCTTGTCCTGTCACTACATGCCCTTGTAAAAATTCCCTCTCCAGCTTTCTTGTAGGCCCCCTTCAGGTACTGGAAGGCTGCTATAAGGTCTCCCTGGAGCCTTCTCTTCTCCAGGATGTCTTCATAGGAGAGGTGCTCCAGCCCTCTGATGATCTTCGTGGCCATCCTCTGGACTGTCTCCAACAGGTCCATGTCCTTCTTCTGTTGGGGTCCCCAGAGCTGAATGCAGTACTCCAGGTGGGGTCTCATGAGAGCGGAGTAGAGGGGGAGAATCACCTCCCTTGACCTGCTGGTCACACTTCTTTTGATGCATGTCAGGATACAATTGGCTTTCTGGGCTGTAAGTGCACATTGCTGGGTCATGTTGAGCTTCTTATCAACCAGCACCCACAAGTCCTTCTCCTCAGGCCTGCTCTCAACCTATTCTCCGCCCAGCCTGTATTGGTGCTTGGGATTGCCCTGACCCATGTGCAGGACCTTGCACTTGGTCTTGTTGAACTTCATGAGGTTCACATGGGCCCACCTCTCAAGCCTGTCAAGGTTCCTCTGGATGGCATCCCTTCCCTCCAGTGTGTTGACCGTACCACACAGCTTGGTGTTGTCAGGAAACTTGCTGAGGGGGCACTCAATCCCACTGTCCATGAGGCCGACAAAGATGTTAAACAGCGCCGGTCCCAATACCAGCCTCTGAGGAATGCTACTCGTCACTGGTCTCCACTTGGTCATCAAGCTGTTGACTGCAACTCTTTGAGTGCGACCATCCAGCCAATTCCTTATCCACCGAGTGGTCCATCCATCAAATCCATGTCTCTCCAATGTGGAGACAAGGGTGTCGTGTGGGACAGTGTCAAATGCTTTGCACAAGTCCAGGTGGATGATATCGCTTGCTCTTCCCTTATCCACCAATGCTGTAACCCTGTCATAGAAGGCCACCAAACTTGTCAGGCATCATTTGTCCTTAGTGAAGCCATGTTGGCTGTCACCAATCACCTCTTGATTTTCCATGTGCCTTAGCATAGTTTCCAGGAGGATCTGTTCCACGATCTTGCCGGGCAGAGAGATGAGACTGACTGGCCTGTAGTTCCCCAGGTTTTCCTTTTTTCACTTTGTAAAAATGGGGGTTATGTTTCCCCTTTTCCAGTCAGTGGGAACTTCACTGTACTGCCATAACTTCTCAAATATGATGGATAGGGGCTTAGCAACTTCATCCGCCAGTTCCCTCAGGACCTGCGAATGCATCTCGTCAGGTCCTATGGAGTTGTGTGCCTTCAGGTTCCTTAGATGGTCTCGAGCATGATCTTCTCCTACAGCGGGCAGGTTGTCATTCTCCCAGTCCCTGTCTTTGCCTTCTGTGACTTAGGCAGTGTGGTTTGAGCACTTGCTGGTGAAGACTGAGGCAAAAAAGTCGTTGAGTACCTCAGCCTTCTGCGTATCCTGGGTAACCACGTGTCCTGTTTCCTTCTGGAAAGGGCCCACATTTTCCCTAGTCTTATTTAAGCTCCTAACTCCCATCTGGGTAAAAAAATTGCCTTGAAATATGTGGGGACTTAGAAATGAAATACATATTTTTGAGAAACTTGGCCTTGTTATACAGGTCATTGAGAAGATCTGTAGTGCTGTCTTTGAAGAAATGTATTTGGAATTGCTCCTAGGAAATGTCTTAATAGAGCTGACACAAGAAAATAAACATCTAGCGAAAGCTTGTAGAGAGGCTGTGTGTCTGTTCTTCTCATCCTTTCCATCTCACCATTTTTTTTTTTGTTAAATTCTTCTTCCTTCTGTTTGCAGGTTGTTACTGTTGTACAGCTCTTACTATATAGCATTAAAAAAAAAAACCAATCCAGGCTTTTACAGTAGAACATAACTCCTTGTACGGCTACAGAGCAGTGCAGCTTTGATTTAGAAAACTGTCACAAATCTCACAGTTTCGTGTTGTAGGCAGCAAAATGAAAATAATAAACCAAGAGGGACTCTATAGTATCTAAACGAGGGCAACAGAAAAAGCTACTAACATTTTGCCTGCAGTTGAAGTGGGTAAACAGAAAGAATAAAGGGATGGGTGGCTGGGTGGGATTAGCACAAAGCAAGCAAGGTTTTAAAAGCTTGCTTGATTCTTATCATTCATATTAAAAGATACATTTCTCAGGAAGCAGCCATTAATCTACCAACAGGGACTGCAGAAGTCACTACTAGTTGGCTCTGTTTAATCTTTAACCCTGTCACCCCCAGTTATTAGTCATCATGGCTGGTTTCTTAGCAGATACTCAGAGTTACAAGGTGGATGGTAGCAAACCATGGTTTTACCATGACTACAATTGGGTATGGACCTGATGAGCAAGGCAGTGTAAGGGTTCTGAGGAAAAGTACACAATTAAGCGTGGTATTTCAAGTGGCCAAAACTCTGTACAAAGCTGTATTTTTCAGAGTCGGCATCAAAGCAATGCCTCTTCATGGTCTTTAGGAGCACTGTTGCTAAGAATGACTTTGTGGAATTTGGATGGATTTCAGTTATTCAGGTGTCCCATGGCATGATACCATGAATCTGTTACTGTTGATACTTTTTCTCAGTTCCACCTCTTTATTTAAATATGTGTGATGTATCACTTAGAAGTTTACCCAAATGAATAATCTCCTTTCTGAAATTAAGTGAAGAGAGAACATGCTTGAATATTCAGAGACCTTCCCTTCAAAAAGAAAAAAAAGTAAATCTTAAGAAAAAAGCTTATGATGTAGCTGGGGCTTTTTACAATATCTTTGGTAGGGTGAGGAGGTTTACAATTTTAACTCGCCTTCCTTCACAGCTAAATGTTCCTCCTAGTCTTGTCTTTCCTGTTCACTCCTACGACTGGGTAGGACACATGGATGATTGTGCCCCCACCACCTTTTTGTTTCAAAGGGAAGGGTGATGCCTGCCTTACCATGCCAAGGGAGTGGTGTCTGTGCTTGATGCTCGTGCTGTGAGGACTTAACTGCTACCTTGTCCTCCTCACACTGCTGCTTCTCAGAAAAACATCTCAGGAATTGAGTTTCACAATAAATGAAACATGCTTATGAGAAATAAACTGGGAATATATCAGTATTTTTCTTTTGTGAAACAAATTACCTTGCAAATAAGAAGTGTTCTTCAGTGAGGAGAAAATGAGCATGTGATCGTTTATATTCTTGTAGTCTGGAAGACAGGCAATAGCTTTTCCAGTTCCCCTTTTACAATAAAGAAGCATTTTTTTTTAATCTTCAGATAAAAGTTGGATTAAATCAATCCAAAACAGTGATGCAGGGTGCCCACAAAAACCTTACCTTGCAGTAAAACTGAGGCAAACAGGATATTTAACGTATTTCTTGTTTCTGTACAAGAAGTTAAGTTATTTTGCCTTTTTTTTTTTTTTTTTTTTTTTTTTAATAGCACTATGGATAAGCTTTGAAACTAGAGGAATGTGGGAAGGTTCTTTATTGCAAGATTAAAGCAGAAAACCCTTAGCTTTAAATTACCATGCAGCAAAGAAAGTAGTGGAGCTGGTTTGGCAGCTCCAGTATAATTGGATATTATTTTGCTGTTAACGTTAAGCCTAAATGTAAGAATTAATCGTTCAAGGTTCTGACAAGGGAACATAGAAATTATGCAAATGGAATTCTGTGGTGACAATTAAAACAGACAGAATTCAGCCTTGGAGTCAACCTGTAAACTGTGCGAGTATCTCACAGAAACTGTCCCCTCTTTGTACCTTAATCATTCTGTCCTAACATAGGAGGCTTAAATGATCATCAGGATGTATTTAACGATATCTTTTTTACAGGAGGTGGTAGAATTATCCCTTAAATTCTCCATATTTTTTAAGAATCTTTACCTTGCAATTCTTTTTTCAGTCAGAGTAAATTGTTTGTGATCATTGGAGTGATCAGAGATGTGGAAAACAAGGACTTAGCATTTACTTTGTCTATTTCAAGATTTGTTTTTTTAAATATGTATGTAATTAGACATGCAAAAAAATGCTCAGTGTATTTATTTCATCGTGTTTTTCACTGAAATCAGAGAATTTATTTCCATATGCCCTTTGCTAGATAAAGATCTCTATAAACTTGAATCTTCTTACCACATTTTTCGTCTGCTTAAATTGCTACAGGAGAAGATGCATGGGATATTGTATTTACTTTCATCAGAATCTTGTTGCTCACATAATTGAATAGAATGTTTCAAAATTTGCCTTTGACTTGAGAGCAGTTTTGAAGCATTTCAGGCCAAAAGGGAACTTCTGTAAAAATACTGACTTCTGGGTTTAAAAGAACATGACCACATCGGTCCTAGCTAAAACATTACTGCAGCTATACCATAAATATGGGTAATAGTCTTGGTCCGAGACTCTGTAGTGAAAGTGGCCTGCTGTCTCTTTCCAGTAGGCTTCCTCAGAATCATTGAGAATCTGTTCATCAGTAGTCAGTCACTCTGTGGTGAGCCACAAAAGAGAAACATTAAACCAATTAAGGAAGAGCTTACAGAAATAAAGCTGTCACTATTTGGTACATCTTCTAATACGGAAATACTTTTGTAGAACTATGACTAATAGTTTGAGGGGGGGGTTGTATGTTTGTTTCTTTTAAAATACATCTTTTTTTTCTCTCTGAATTTTTTCTTAGACCTTAGCAATGTCATGAATTCCACTCCAAATATAAAGGCTGTGAATGGAAAAGCTGAAAGTAGTGATAGCGGAGCAGAATCAGAAGAAGAAGGGCTTCGTGAAGAGGAGGAAAAAGAACTGCAGCTAAATGTAAAGGGTATGTGTTCTGCACTTGGACCATTGTTCTTCCAAAGTTATTCTTAACCACCTAAGTGGCAGAAAATCCCAGAAGATCATGAACGCTGTACTTCTTCAGGAGAATTGGATGCAAATACGTGTGGGTGCGTGTGTGAAGAATGGCAGTGTCTCAGCCTGGGTTATAAGATTTAGAACTAGTACAAATTTGTGAGCTCTACCATACAATTTTTGAGTCGGCTAGGCAGTTCTGTTGGTAGGCTAGCTAAAAGTCTATACCCTGTATTGTTTTGGTTTTTGTTGCCAGTGCTGTTTGTAAGAGCTGTGGATGGCTACATGAGCTGTAACAGTAGAATTTAAAAAATCTAGCCAGCAGGAGCAGGGAAGTGATCATCCACCTGTACTCGGCACTGGTGAGGCTGCACCTGGAATACTGTGTCCAGTTTTGGGCCCCTCAGTACAAGAAAGACATTGAATTGCTAGAGCGTGTCCAGAGAAGGGCAACAAAGCTGGTGAAGGGTCTAGAGCACAAGTCCTATGAGGAGTGGCTGAGGGAACTGGGGTTGTTTAGTTTAGTCTGGAGAAGAGGAGGCTGAGGGGAGACCTTATTGCTCTCTACAACGACCTGAAAGAAGGTTGTAGCAAGGTGGGTGTTGGTCTCTTCTCCCAAGTAACTAGCGATAGGACGAGAGGAAATGGCCTCAAGTTGCACCAGGGGAGGTTTAGATTGGATATTAGGAGAAATTTCTTCACGGAAAGAGTGGTCAAGCATCGGAACAGGCTGCCCAGAGAGGTGGTGGAGTCCCCATCCCTGGAAGTGTTCAAAAAATGTATAGATGTGGCACTTTGGGTCATGGTTTAGTAGGCATGGTGGTGTTGGGTTGATGGTTGGACTGATGATCTTAGAGGTCCTTTCCAACCTTAATGATCCCTAGTTTTACTTCATTAAAAAATAATCCAGCCACCAAGCCAGGAACATGAATCGACCCTTAATTGGTTTAGTGGTGGACTTGGTAGTGTTAGGTTAATGGTCGGACTGGATGATCTTAAAGGTCTTTTCCAACCTAAATGATTCTATGATCACTTTTTTATGTTCAGAGAAAATAAAACAGAACTTTCAGTGAGATTCATTTAGGGGGTCCATAAAGAGTTTTAGGAAATAGCAGTATCAAGTGAAAACCAAATGAAATTACGTATTTAGAATTCTATACAGGTTTTTTCCTCCAAGGACATTAAGATAATTATTTAATTTATCAGACACACCTACTTTGGATTTGCTTACTTATGTTTTAAATATCATCTGCTCTTTATGCAAATTATATTTCATATTTACACTTTTTACAAGAACAGAACAATCCCTGCAAATGTGAATCTAGGAGCATTTATGTATTTTGTTCTGTATATGCATTATACTTACAGTCCATTAGAAAGTTAGCTACTTGAAGAAACATGTTTTGAGCTATTAGGTGTGTAGATTTCTATTTGCAAGGTTTTCTTGTTCTTTTACAGACTATAAGAATGTGAAACCAGAATCAGCAGCTGCTAAGGATTTGGAAAGTATTGTTACTAATGGCTGTTACAAGGACAGCTTTATCCCAGATACGCAGAATGGCATCCAGACTAAATCTGCCCTGAATGGCTTGAACCTGGAGGAGGAAATAAAGAAAATGGACCCAAGCCTAGAAATAGCTAATAACAGTGCTCACCAAGGTATTGTTCTTGTAAGACCATATTTTCATTTGCATGTGTTTTTCTTGGAACAATATTTGTTTTCTTGGAAGCTTAATTGTGGGATTCAGAGACTAGCAATGCTGTCTTTCAGTTGTAGAAACCTGAAGAAAGACTACTCAAAAACCCCCTCGCCTTAATACCAGTTTAAAATAAGGCTTTCTTTTAGGATCTCCTACAGAAAGAGAGATGAATTCAGAGATAGAGAAGCCCAAAACCACAGAAATACAATTGTTTTCTTTTGAAATCATTATACTACCGATGCAAGTACTGTTTGAAAGCTAATTTGTAGTGAAATGAAAATCACTAATAGCTTATTTGTCTTTCTCAAAGGCTGAACATATTATAAATGCCAGGTTGTTCAAACTGATGTCTAAATATATAATTTTAAAACTGGCAGATAACTTTAGGCAAAACTTCTTTATACTGAGCTTAGGAAGGAGAGTGGAATGAACAAGGTAAAATTAAAATTATCAACTGATAATGCAGAAGTGCCAATATGAGGTATAGTTTTCCCATTAGTAAAAGTTTTAAATAATTTCTATATTAATATAACTTCTTATTCAGAATCTAACTTTAGGATGACAATTGTAGATAAAAGGGGCATGAGTTGAAGTTCACCTAGACATTTTAACTCATTGCTTTACTCTTTGCCAGGATTGGCTCACATTTATAAAGCATATGTGCATCTCCTTTCCATACAGGTGCAAATGAAGAGAATACTGAAGAGGTCTCAGCAACTCAGCACTTAACCAGTGACTCAGACAGTGAAGTTTATTGTGATTCTATGGAGCAGCTGGGACTAGAAGAGGTAGAGGCTTAGTATTCCTAGGTGTATTTAGAAACTGGTATGCTTATTTTTAAATAGGTTCCTATCTGTCAGGTGAACCTGGACATGCAGAGGTGAATGAAGTAACTTGTGCATACCTTTCTCCCCTTTGGACTATCAGTCTTTTGTTATTTTTATTGTCAGTCTTTTACAACTTGGTTACTACCGATCTAAAAGCCTTGAAATTTTTGCACTCAGAGAAATTATGTGAGGGGAAGGTATCAAAAACAACAGTACAAAGCAACTAAAGGCTGTGTTCACGAATGAATTTAGGCTCTCCTAACATATGTAGGGAGCAGAATCCAGCTATCTCTAAGAAGTAGGGAGTGTCTTTGTAACAATGAGCTTTTTGTGTGCTCTTTTTCTGGCCTGATGAATCCTGCATTTGTTTCTTAGAAAAATAAAGAGTAAGCTTTAGCAGTAAGAGTAGAGTAAGCCTGTAGGCCAGTGCCTGAAAGTGGCTTAGGTCTAAAGAAGTAGGAGATTACAGTAATTTCTGGGTTCTCTTGTACTCTCTTCAGCCATAACCTACATCTCTGACTTTCATCTGAAAGGTGGGCACCAACTGTGTTGGCTTGATTTTGACTAAATTTGTGCTCCTGCTCATTGTATTAACATTAAGCTCATTAGTCTTAGCTGATTTACTGGCTTGGACCTCCTTCAGAGGTCCAGTTTAAGTGTGGACTTTGTAGATTGTACTCCAACACCTAGTTTCCTGATTCTGAGGAGGAATATATGAATGATGCATGGGATCAGACGTACCAGTAAGCGCTCTAATATTGCATCATTCTCTTGTCTAGCAGTTTCCTGAGGATCTAGAGAATTCCCTTTAACAAATCAAAATTTTAGCCAGTAATGACACATGTTGGGAAAGGTGATTTGGTAGAAGTACTGCAAGCTCTCTTATCTATGTGATTTCCCAGTCATCTTGTGTATCATTTGAGCTTGTTTGAGATTCTTTGATTGAAGTGGGTGGATAATTTGTCAGAATTTGCCAACCTGCATGAGAAAATTTCTAGTTTTGAACAAAATAACAAATGTTCAGGTATATGTAAATAAATATACAAGTAGAACTACAGATGGATCTATTCAAACTAGAAGAGGTTCATTTGAAGAATTAAATTCAGCTTTTTATTGGAACAGATGTAGCAAACACTGTCCTTCAGTTCTGATGATACAGGTTTATGAACTACTAGTTGACAAATGGGATTTTGGCAGCAATTTCAGTTTCTTTGCCCCTTCTTTTGGTTATTTTGGCTTTTTCATGGAGTTATTTTTTGGCTAGCTGAGGTCCCCAGTCTGCTTCAGCATATACTTGTGCGAGTGCTTGTCCTTGCACTGAACAAAGGGTTGCTTGAACCGCCTTAAGGCAGTCCTGTTGCAGAACACGTAATTGTGACCTGATCAATGCGTATGTCATCCATTTTCATTATCTTTCTACAGTACCACAGATTTTGAGTGAGAAGTTGATAGAATACGATGCCTTTCTTTTCTTTGGTGAGAGGCACGGGGTGCAGCCAAGCTGTTTTGAACAGGTTGATAATAAACAAGGTGATCTTTTTGCCGGGAGCGTAGACACTGCCTACTCAAGGTTGCTAATAGCACGTGAGTTTTGACAGTGTGGCTCGTGAATCCAAGTTAGGATACCACTTCACTGTCTCGGAAGCAAAGCCAATTTTACAAGGGAAAACTGAACATTTTCAGATCTTAATGTTCTATTCTAGTGATTACTGAGTATTACTGTATGTTAGAAATGGGTAAAGTAATTCCAGGTGGTATCACTGTTTTGAGAATATTTGCCTCAAATGCCCTTTCAGTCTGAAAAGAACATTTAGACAATAGTAAGCACATTCTACAGGAAAACAACTGCTCCTGTTAAAAGAATAGCCTTAATTCTGGGCAAACTATTTTCTTAAAGGGAAAGTAGAGATGATGCTTCTTCCTTTTTATTGGTTAACTGTCACATTTTACAGAATTTAATTACTTGCTAATGTTAATTTGTAGCCCTTGGAGATCATCACATCAGCTAAAGGATCTTTAAAGCATTCATCCCATTTCTTGGATGTAGATCACAGTCTTCTGTTAGAAACTACAGATTTTGCAAGGCATGCTTGCATGACTTATGGAAGTGTCCACCCTGGAAATACTGTAGAGGGAGCAGCTCAAGAACAAGGTGAAGTCAAGTGTGGAGGAGAAGATGGCAAAGCCAGTAATGGGGGCCCTCACAAGGAGAAGAAAGGTGGAGAAAAAGCAGATTTCTACAGTGTCAGAAGAGGGAGAGGTACTGTGCACGCTGCTTTTGTTTTCCCCACTCTCCTGACTACCATAAGTTACTGGTGCCTGAGAAGCACTTGTCAACATTGTCCAGTAAGATAGTCATGCTATATAGTGCTTATGTCCTTCACAATAAAAAATAGATAACAAAATCCTAATTACAGTGGGTAGCAATCAGTTTTGTCTTCAGAGTATTTATTTAATTCATAATAAGTATTACAAAATAATTTTCTTGTGCTATGGAGATCTTGTATAAGCGTATTGGCTTCTGTTTTGGCTTACCTTAAACTCCAGCTGCTGTTTATGGCAGCTGTCTTTTTAGAAATGTAATCTTCAAAACCTGTCTAGGCATGCGAAGAGTTTCTTTACAAGTTACATATTTATTTTTAAATGCATATGCATTTATATCTCTATGGTGTCTTATTTGAAACCATGGAATATCTTGGAAAGGTATCAGTGACACATTGTTTTTTAGGTAATTGGAGTGTTAGCCACGCCTTTGAGTGATTCTGATAATATCTATTATGATTCTTAAAACTTAATGATTCTTAATCACATAATAGTCCAGATGTTCAATTTATGTTGGATCTCTGCTCTTTTTAATTCCGTAATACTTCTAATACTGTCACCTAAAAGCAGCACCATATTCCAGTGGTATGATCTGTAAAATCAAGGATAAAGTTTATTTTTCTTGTACTAAAAAAAGTCAGAAAGCTTTTTATTTATATATAGCATGCCTTTTTGTGTGGCACCTATATGTGATCGGATGCAAAAATTAAAAAGAAAATCCAAATATAACATTTATGTTGAAAACTATTATGAAGAACATATTGTAGCTTAACCATCTCCCCTTCTCTCTTTTGTTGTTTTATTTATGTTTGCTACTTGCAGGCGGAAACATGATACGCTAGCTGTATATAGCTTAAAGGAGTATTGCAGGTTTCAAACAATTATCTTTTCTCATCATGCTATTCCAGTGTTCTTTGTTTTCCAGCTGGAGACTGTGCCAAACTTAAAACACACCTACCCTCAATAAGATGGATCTTACTTTCTTTTTGCTAGGGCAGAATTTACTGCATGTGAATTAATAATTTTTTTCTAAAAGCTTATGCAGTTCTAGGACCTTGAATGA